AGTAAGTGTATTAAGTGCAATAAAATATTGTTTGCGTGTGTTTCAGAAGCTGCCTTTTATTTAGTGTCAGTCTTATTTTCTTTTTGAAAACTAAGTTGCTAATAAAGATTTTTCATCACATTTTTCACTGATGAAATTAACACTAACTAGGAAACAAGCTGTAATAAACTGGAGCTGCTCTTAAACTGACTAAAAATACTAATGTGGAAACATATTTGTTATAATTGACTACACTTGGGTAGTGCAATGAAATCACTTATGATAAACTGAAAAATATTTACTATTTAGAACTTTTCTACGTATGGTATATTTCAGGCTGACCTAACAAATGACTACAAGAGGTATTTTATTTAAACTGAATCAGTAGAAAGGATTTAATTCAGATGTTTTATCAGGTCACAGCACTACTCGTAGCGATTATCACAGCTGATCCTGTGACTACAGTATGCTGCAGTAGCTGTCAATATGTATGCATCTGTCACCATCACTGTCCACATGCTGAAACTGTCACATTGTTTGCAAGGTCTCCAAAGCTGTTAATCAACTCTTCTCTAATGTGTTGTTCACACCTTCTCTCTCTCCCCGACTTGGTGGATTGAGACAGGGTGCTTGGCTGGGTGATCGCTGTTGCTAATTTGTTGTGGCAATATTAATTAATGATCAGCCTGTCACAGCTGTTTATATTGAGACAGATTAGAAGTGGGAGAGATTAGACAAAGAAAACAATCTGCGAGAGGCTCAGCGGCTGACAGGGGTCACCTTCACGTGTCTGAAATCATATTCAATTTGCTGTGGCAGTGGCAGGGAAATTACTCCACTTGACCACTCTGTATCCTTCTCTATCTCTGATGCATCATGTTTAGAGATAATTAAATCAAATCATTTTGAGCTGCAATAAACTAAAGCACCATATACGGTCACATTTGATCACAGCTGATATGATGAAAAATGTAAACATCCAGTTGTGCTTTTTATGTTCGAAAGACACATATGCAGCCTTTTCATGCTTCTTTCCCCCATTAATGCTAATTTTCATTCAGCACTGCCACCAAGCACATTTCCCTCTTCAAATGGACCTTAAACTGAAGTGACAGAGTGCAGTGTTTGGCCTGCTGACGTTCGTGCTGTCCTTCCACATGGGCCTCCTGACTCTCTTCCTTCTTGCTGCTGCACACAGGTCTCAGGCTCAGCTGACTTGGAAACACAACAGCACATTGTGACAACGAGGGGAGATTAAGTGGCCAATCAGGGCCTGAACAGTGGGGTGATCATTCCACTTGGTAAAATGGGTGTCATGATTGCTCAAGCACTTTCTGCCTTCACTGTACAGACTTTAATAGGGCAATGTGTTTTTGTATCTGGAGTGCTGTGATTTGATTTTAAAAACAGCTTCCTTCTGTTTGATTAATAGTAAAGATTAAATGTTATATCATGAAGCAAATGTAAACTTGATGTTTGGGCAAAGTTCAGAGTGGAAGGATACATGGTAATATTTTATTTTTGCCAAAGCCATTGTTTGACTTCACAGTTGTGTTTTATTTCATATATTATATCAAGCTACAATTACATCAACATGACGGTTGTTCATGTTCATTCTAAAGGTGGTTTTAGCAGAGTTACTGTCACTTCCACACATGGCATCGATGTTGTTCTTTATGGACCAACAGAATAGACATTAAGGACAAATGCAAAACAATAAATAGAGTGCATCAATTGAAGGAGTCCTACTACACAGTGTTCTGTGTCTGTGGTAAGGCATCCTGAATGAGGCATCAGCCATTGTTTACTATGATACACTATACAGCAACAACAACAAATGAATGGCTGTTGGGTTCAACACTCAGCTTCAGTCCTAATGCCCTACAACTGTTAGCTTGGGGTCCAACTTTGTAGTGTGAACCCGGCATAATTTGACACAGTGAACAACTTCTCAGACAACACTATCATGTAGTCTGGACTCGGCTTTAGAAAATTGGCTTTGTGAATCTCCCAGTCTGCAAACAACTACTGTTCCCTGATCTAAGTAAGGATAATCACCTTTATTTGGCCAAGTATGTTACACACAATAAATTTATTTCTTGTACAGAACCGAGGCAGCCATCTGCGGCGCCAACTCACACCGATGGCTCTAACCATCGGGGGCAACTCTGGGGTTCAGTGTCTTGCCCAAGGACACTTTGACATGTGGACTGCAGGCACCGAGAGACGACTGCTCTACCCACTGTACCACAGTCGCCCTAGTACTGCAAATGTGCTGTGAAGCAAGGCAGTTACCTTCTAATAGCACTAAGAGAGCTGCTAAATGTGGATGCATGTTTGAACTGAATGAACAAGTGGAATTATGTCAGTGTAAGGCAAGATATCTCAGCAGAATACATTCTTATTTGATTTCCCTTGATAAATAAAGGTTAAATGAATGAATAAAAAATTTAAGTCCTTGCTGGAAGATAAATAGCTCTTTAATGTCATGCAGCCTGTGGCCCATTTCTGGTGTGATTGTTAAAGTAAATTCCCACAGACATGAGGAGGGAGGAGGGATGGAAGAAGAAAAGGCTATAATACTGCAGAAAAGAATCTACTGCATGTAAGGATGTACACAGGCATGCTTTCCTTGTCAATCTCCTGTATTATTCCATGTGTGAAGCAAGGAATGTCTGACAAGAAAACAGCACCGTACAGCTGCAGTGGGTTTAAATATTTTATTGATGGGATGGATTCTGAAGCTATCAGCTCAAACTTGAAGGAAATATGCAGCTGCTCTTCAAGCTGTTGCTTCCACTGTTGAGCTAATACAGTATCACTGACCTCTTCCCATAACTGGATTACCAACAGGACAAAGCATGCAACTGCACATGGGCCTAAAACCCCAAGTTTCCCACATATCATTTGGACCTACAGTATATAATGTGATGAGTCATACAGTATATTTCTTGAAACTTGCCTCACTTACAGTATGTACACCATCATCTATGACGAGTCCTCTACCCTCAGTGGTCTGCAGGGAGGTGAGCTTAACCTATCTGGTTTGACAGTTGGGTGTGATGTCACAAATGGCACAGTTTCAACACTGCTCGCTCTTGAGGTGAGAGATTTAAAATTTGATTTAACTTGAAAACACAGCAAAGATATAGTTCAGTAATCAGATGGCCTCACCATAATGCATCTCAAAGCTCCTTTTGCTTTTTTCCATCATACCATTTCTTTAACACATAAAATTCTACATAAACCTATTACATGACAAAAATGTGTCATGCAATTTTTCTTTTTTTGCTGTTGGAACCCTATACTAATTCACAGAAAGGTTTTATGACATATAGTACAATATATTGTATTGAACCATTAACTTTTTCCTAGCAAAACTTTATCCTGCAACAGGTAGCACCAGAAGAATTTCTGGCGAAGGAGAACAGACCAGGCTGCCACTAGTATGTTGGCATACCATCATAATGTTTGATTTAACTTTGGCTAAAGCTGGCAACCGCCCCCATATTATGCATCACATCTGCAGTGTAGTCAACCACTGCCCATGCAATCAGTTCTTGGCAAGATGAGTGACTCATCAACACAGAGAAAGGGTTTGTGTTTTGCATCAGTGTTATTTAACAGTTCAGACATATTCCGCATCATACCCACAAACACATGCCTGGTCACATGTTTATTAACACATGCATGCATATGAGTATTTCTGTCCTTTACCAATGGAAAAAAAACCCCTCTGGAGCCAGGCAAGACAGCACGGCTGACTTTCAAGAAATTCCACAAACGAGTGCTTTGTGGAACTAAACGGGTGCAACAAATCCTCTTAAAATCCCTTTAGACACCGTGGCAGCAAGGAGAAAAAGAAAAAGTTTCTCTCAGGCAAACATGTGCAGGTTTGTTGGGTGGATGTTGTGCTCAGGAAGAGGACACTCTAGCCAGTTTATTTCTTCAAGAGTGTAAAAAAGTGTTAATACGACACATATCCCACTGGCCGCACAGAAGTACAGTATGGTGACACAAAGGTTAAAGCAAAGATCTAGGGAACGGAGGTGTCAGATGTCAACAGTTTAATTTTCAAATCAAAATGTTTGGAGTTTGGTGTTAAACATCAATTTGTGTTTCATTAGGACAACAGAGTGGAAAATTAAGTTTCACTCTGAGGTGCCAGTACACCAGTGACCCAGGCAGCTTGGTTATGAGTTTTTTTTCTCTAGGTAAACAATAGTAAACAACTGAAATCAGTGTAACTATCAAGTCAAAGTGGCTTAACTTGGGATGAAATTCTGCAGCTGAAATGCAGCTTTATATGGCTGTCAACAAGTGCCAACCAATCCAGCTGCTGTGTCTTTAGGCTCTCCAATTTCCTCAAGTTTCTCAAAAACTAGTTCCCTGGCTCTGATTGCTATTTACATATTTGGGTAAATGAGCATGGGATTGGGTTCAGTGGTTTGTTTGTTGATTTGCTTTTTGCTTTTCTATCTCCTTTGGGCAACAGATCAAATTAATGTTTGTAGACACTGATGCTACACATGAGGAAACAGGAGATCTTGCAAAATTACAAAACTCTCCCAATTACAGCTCTACAAACACATGACTGTGGAGAAAAAACTCATTTCGGTCGTGATGCAGATTTCTCATGTGTCAGAGGCACAAGGACAATAATTAGTTTCATTTACATGCTTTCCTGTTCATATAGACTAACAAACATTGTTTACTCAGAATAAACACAAGTGCATCCCAACACAAATTTGTGATATGTATTTTCACTGTATGCACTAGGTTCTGACAAAGGGCAAATTCTAGCTCACTTACACTTTTCTTTATTAGTGCTCGCACTATTTCTCCTTCCTTCCACACTCTTTTAAGCTCCTATCTCCTTTTATCCTTAATTACTTGTTTAAACGTGTTTGGCTTTTCACTGCACGCCTGCTGTTTCGGTCATTACAGGCCCCTGTAGGAAGGGGAGTAGCTGCCAAAGAAGCTTACCATAAGACAGTCACTGGGGATGTGTCTGTACTCACCTGGGGTAAATGAGGACAACGCTTCCTGCTGGCTTTGAGGCCTGTCCTCCCCTCAGGGGCTGTCCTGATATTGAAGAGGGCCTGAAGAGCACACTGGGCTGCCTGGGTCTTGGCCAGCTTTTTACTGCGACCACAGCCCTCAAATATCCGACCATCCACGCGAACGGCCATCACAAAGCTATGCAGCCGTCTGCCTTCAGCTCGCTCTGAAAGGCAGGCATAACGAAGGCCTGGCCGGAGCTCATTCAACAACGCCATGGGACTTTTGGGGGCCTCAGGCTCTGCAACAATCCCACCCAGCCGCTGCTGAGCCTGCACCATCAAGTCCAAGGTGTGGCGAAGCAAACGTCCATGCCTCAGGAGCTCACTTGATATTAGCGTGCTCTCAGCTGCCGAGTTGCAGAGTGAGAGCCCATTGGAGCACGCCGAAGACTCAAATTTCTTAAAGAGTGTGTCAGGAAAATCTGCCTGGTCTGAGGTGAAGTCGGTCGAAGGGCTGGACATGTTTCCCATGGCTAGGTGGGCCTGAGGTGCATTGGGGAACTGGATGAAGGACTTGAGGGCCAGCTCGGCAGCCCTCATTTTTGCTTTCTTCTTTGTTGGGCCTGTGCCCTCAAAGGTTAGCCCGTTTACCTCCACAGCAATGGAGAAGACAGGAGCATGCACTGGGCCTGTCTGAGACACCATACGGTACTGCAGGCCTGGCCGGAGTTCATTGAGCTGCACCAAAGCATTCTTTGGAGCCTCAGAGCAGGACAGTTTCTTATAAATGAGGCGGAGCTGACACAAATGCCCGTTGTTGTCTTCCTCCAATGGCCGTTTCCTCTTCAGACCAGAGCTCCCACCTCTTGTAGTGTCAGAGCAGAAAAGCGATGGACACTCTGTAGATCCTGTGGTGCGATCCTCTAAGTTACCAATGTTACGGTTTTCCTTTACCTCTGCACTGCTGGTACCTGAAATGAAAACAGCAAAACACAAACAATGCGATTCAAAGTGATAAAAAACAGTCAAAGCCCAAGTAGGAAGAAAAGCATTCATTACTATGTGACACATTTATCCTGGCAGAACAAAATGAATCAAGGAAAATCTCTCAAGGCAGATTGAGCCACTTGATACACAATGAAACGGTAATGAACAAATCTACAATCATACCCCAGAGCCGAGACACTTCATACCACAAAGCTGTATCATATGTAAGTGTTTTAAAATCCAAATACAAATCCCTTAAAAATGGCAATGTTATTTGCCAAATGATTCTGTAATCTGCCTCCAAATTGGTTCTGAATCTCTGTCTTTAGTGGGTAACATTGGTCCCTGTGGCCAATGCAAAGAATCAATCCTATTTGTAATGGGGGCGGGGATCATGTCGAGTGGCACACATTCTGAGAGAGCATGAGAGAAATGTCTGTAGCTCGCTTTATTGCATACTTCTGTCCTCTGTAAGAGCAAAATCTGAACAGCTGTGAAATGCTCTTCAAACCTAGTTACAGGGACGTGGCGGCATATTGCATTTCTGATGGGAAATGAACAGAAATAGGGTGTTCAGATCTTGCCACAAGAATATTAATGGAGAAAAGGGAGGTTGGGATCAAGCGGTGATCTGAAGCAGATTGTGCTGTAGCTTTAGATGATATTTGTTCTTTGGTTTTATAAGATAATGCAGATTTTAACATACTGTACAAGCTGACATCCATGCATAATAATATAGCCCATTTCTCAAATAATTAATTATGTGGGTGACACAGATCATTTGCACGTTAGGCCACTGAGGATGCATAGCATGCTGACAGGAAGAAAAGAAGCAGCAGCTTACTTAAACTGTCCTCGTCCTCTGTGCTGCTGGTCCCAGGGCTTATGTACTTGAAGGGAGCGATCAATGCTGACAGCATACTGACTTTCTCTGGAGGTGAAACAAGAGACACACAGAGTCAACAGGAGGGCAGTGGCGGAGATGTTTTGATAGTTTTATTGATTAAAGCCGTGGAGCAGCATTGGGCTCAACATAAGGAAAGAGACAAAACATATGTCAGCAAGTGTATGCACACAATACTGTTTCTCTGGCAGCCCTGCATGGATGACAGGGCATACAGTACCTGTATATACAAGAAAGTTAGCAAAGACCTATATACACATACGTACATGCATACATACACACATATGGAATATATAAATGCCAGATTAATCATAAAAAAGACACAAAGGAATCAGCTGAAATCTAGTCCAGTCCAGTGCTGGGGAAACTACTTAGAAAGCAAAGCTTTGCAAGCTACCAGTTACTTTACAGTGGAAGAAGTTGAACGTCAGCAAAGCTGCTCTAGGTGGCAATCTAGTTTGGTTCAGGAAAACTACTTAGAAAAAGTAGTTGAAACTACTTTGTAAAATATTATCAAATGTACAATCTACATGTGATACAAAATTAAACAAAATATAATACAAAAAGTCACATGCCAGGTAAAAATGCCACTTGAGTTTATTACCTGAGATGTAAACCTGTCCTGAATGCAACAATCTCATCTTGGCTTTTCAAAAGGACAAAATTATGAGGAATATTATATTTTTGCTGTAAATAAATCTGGATTTCTATAACAAAAACAGTAATAAGAAAAACTGTTTAACTTAAATCTTTTTAGACAGTTTGACTGACTTGAGCACTGGTCTAAACAATGATCTGTTGTCTTATTTGTTAGTTTTGTACCATGTATCAACTAAACCAGTCTTCAACTTGGATCATTTCAGACAGTATCTTTTTACCGCTCTGGGCAGAAGCTCTTGTTCATATAACACAAGCTCTCTCAAAGCTCTTGTCTGACAGGGGGTTACATGTTGATAAAATAAAAATTAAAACTCATTCCTTTCCCTTTTTGGCCCAAAATTGTATGTTTCAGTAGTTAAGTGGACAATAAATGGCAAAAAAGTAATTTAGCTACTTGAATTACTATGCAGATATGAATGTAGTTGAACTACCAGCAAGCTACTGCATAACAATGTATAATAGACACTGGGCCTCACAGACAATCATGTTTAATGTATTGTTCTAAATCAGATTTACCAAACCACCCTAACTGTTACACATTTTGTAAATTACTAACAGGTTCCGACTGCGCCTGCCTCTCTCACTCCCCTCACTCTGTTTTTATTCCCTTACCCTGATTATGTTATCTGACGCGCCTGCTTCTTGTCCCCAGATCACCACCAGCTGCACCCAATTAGTTTCTCCCTATTTATTCCCCGCTCACCGTCCATTCCCCTGCCAGTTCTTTCTAGCATTCTCAGGCCCGTAAGTTCCCGTTGTTTTGATTGTTTTATATAGACCTCTGTTTACCTTCACTCAGTCCTTTCACCCGAGCGGTGTTCTCCTACGTTTGTTGTTTCCTCCTCCTCGAGTCGCTCCACCGGACCACGGACCTCCTCTGCTCAGTTCCATCTCCACCACGCAGGTGGATGCACAGTCTTCTCTTAACTGCCTCACTAACTCTGTCTCCTCAGCAACCATCATCCCCGACTAGTCCAGGAGCGAACCCCATTGTCTGCAGCCCGGCCATCCCACAATCACTGCACCACTGACTGTGCTTTTGCCATACCTGCTGCTCAACACCCGGTCCCGTTTTCTACATCCTCCGTCTGGTTATACACTTGCTTGTTTGATATCACTGTAAATAAATTGAGCACTACTTGCACTGAAGTCAGCTACCTGGGTCCGTCATTTTTTGTCGACTCGCTCACCTCTGTGTCCGCGCAGACATAACAGAAAGAACTGGCCAATATGGACCCTGCTAACTCTGGTGCAAGTAGTTCACCATCTAACGCTCAACTGGCTCAGGCACTGCAGCAGCAACAACATGATCTGGCTGCACTAACACAACAAGTAGTACAATTCACCACCGTCCTGCTGTCCCAACACGGTCACTGCCACCTGTTCTGCCAGTCCCTGCCCAGATCCTCCTATACCTGAACCGGGCATTTTTGACGGTAATGTGGACAAATGCCGGGGTTTTCTGCTGCAGTGCCGCCGGGTGTTCGAGCACCAACCAAGGACATACCGCACAGACCGAGAAAAGATCAGTTATGTCATCAACCGACTCTGAGGAAAAGCGCTTTCATGGGCCGAGGCTGCAGACTCCACTGGACTACTCATCGGTACTACCATCACGGAATTCCTGGATGATCTAAGGTCAGTTTTTTCACCATCATCTCATCAGAGCCAAGCTTCTAGGGAGCTGTTAACCATTCGTCAGGGGGCTCGGCGAGTCCTGGATTATTCCATTGACTTCCGGGTCCTTGCGACAGAGGCCGGCTGGGAGGACCGCCCATTACGTGCGGCCTTCTGGCACGGCCTCAATGACAGCATCAAGGCCAAACTGAATACGAAGGACGAGCCCCCTGATCTTCGCTCCCTAGTCGACTTGGCCATCCAGATTGACAGACAACAGGGCTCTTACCGCAAAGAAAGAACAGGGCAGCAGTCGGCCCCCCACAACCCAGAGGAACCTATGGACTTGGGACATGCCCGTCTAGACTCTGAGGAGCGACATTGACGGGCCATTCCTCCAACTCCACCAGGTCGGGTACCAGTTGCCGTCTCCCTGTGCTCCTAGAGGTTGCTGGTCAGACGTCCTCCCATCATGCTCTCCTGGACTCTGGAGCCGGGGGTAACCTTATGGACCCGACCTTGGTGGAACGCCTAGGCCTGACTGCTGAGCCTTTACCCCACACCATTGAGACCCGGGCTATCAACGGCCGACTGCTGACCCGCATCACACATCGTACTCCACCGCTCCGTTTCACCATCGCCGGCAACCACCACGAGGACATCTGGTTTAACATCTTCACCATCCTGGATACACCACTGGTTTTGGGTCACTCCTGGCTGGTCCAACATAATCCCACCGTGGACTGGACTACTGGCACCATCACCCAGTGGAGCCCCCCCTGTGCATCGACCTGCCTCCTCGCTGGACAACCCACTGCCCCGTCGCCATCCACTCCTCCTGAGCCCTCAGATATGTCCTCTGTTCCTCCGGACTACCACGATCTTCATCAGGTGTTTAATAAACACCTAGCCACAGACTCTCTCTCTCCTCATAGGCCATACAACTGTGCAATCGACCTGTACCCGGGAGCCACCTTGCCCAACAGTCGCCTCTTCCACATCTCAAAATCCGAACGGCAGGCTCTGGAGGAGTACATAGAAAGCGCCCGATGTGCAGGTATGATCCATCCTTCTTCCTCACCCCTGGGTGCAGGGTTCTTTTTTTGTGGGGAAGAAGGATGGTGGCTTCCGTCCTTGCATTGATTACCTTGGTTTGAATGCTATTACTATCAAGAACAAATATCCATTACCTCTTCTCTCTTCTCCATTTGAGTCTCTCCAGGGCGCAGCAGTCTTCACAAAGTTGGACCTCAGGAGTGCCTACCACCTCGTGCGTATCCGTGAGGGCAATGAGTGGAAGACTGCCTTCAAGACCCCACTTGGGCACTTTGAGTACCTGGTGATGCCTTTTGGCCTCACCAATGCCCCGGCGGTTTTCCAGGGGTTGATTAATGACATTCTCTGTGATTTACTTGGTCGTTTTGTTTTTGTCTATTTTGATGACATTCTCATTTACTCTTCTTCCCTCACAGAGCACATCCAGCATGTTCGCCAGGTCCTTCTTCGACTCCTGGAAAACTGCCTTTATGTAAAGCTGAGAAGTGCGTCTTCCACTCCCCCTCCGTGGCATTCTTGGGGTTCATCATTGAACAGGGAAGACTCCGCGCCGACCCAGCCAAAATCACCACAGTCACCAATTGGCCTACCCCCACCTGTGTGAAGG